TAAGCGGGGATCTCAGGAGCGACGGGGGAGAAAAGTCAGGATGGGGAGAAGGGAAGTTGGGATGGAAAGACGGAAGTCGGAATCGGAGGAGGAATGAGGAAGTTCGAAGGATGGATGAGAAGGGACATGCCTAATTATCAACAATTCATGGGTGTTTGTGTTTTTTTTTTTTTTTCGGTCTTTTTCGATTTCGTTTTTACCGACCCATACTTAAGCGGGGATCTCAGGAGCGACGGGGGAGAAAAGTCAGGATGGGGAGAAGGGAAGTTGGGATGGAAAGACGGAAGTCGGAATCGGAGGAGGAATGAGGAAGTTCGAAGGATGGATGAGAAGGGACATGCCTAATTATCAACAATTCATGGGTGTTTGTGTTTTTTTTTTTTTTTCGGTCTTTTTCGATTTCGTTTTTACCGACCCATACTTAAGCGGGGATCTCAGGAGCGACGGGGGAGAAAAGTCAGGATGGGGAGAAGGGAAGTTGGGATGGAAAGACGGAAGTCAGGATCGAAGGACACCTCTTCCTTCACTCTGCCTCTTTCCCATAGCGTGCAAGTGGGCTGTTATGGCATACGGGGATGGGGGCAGCTCGCGCTCATCTTCATCAACGTGGCGAGCCTTGTACGTTAGAGGCACAGTGGAGGAGGCGTTAAGAAGACTGAGAAACTGAATGATTTCAATTTGTCTTTGTTTTTTATTTTTATCCTTTGATTCAGTGTAAATATTTTTTGTTAAACACTGAAAGAAATAATAATACTGTGAAACAAAGTGTCATTCTGGTTTGTCTGTCTCTTTGCCTGTCTGTCCTTTCAATTTTCTTTTCTTTGCTCATCTTATTTCTTCTTCTACTTCACGTGCTCATGCTCTTAGTCAATAGTTATGTGACAATATATTATTAATACAAGTGGAACCCGCCACGGCTACGCCATGGCGCACAGCAACACTGGCTGATGGCGTCTCATTTTTCTTTCATGTCTCTCTCTCTCTCTCTCTCTCTCTCTCTCTCTCTCTCTCTCTCTCTCTCTCTCTCTCTCTCTCTCT